TGACAACAAAAGTGGCAATGGAATGATGCAATAACACGGAATGTTAATAGCGAGGTGATAAACAACGGAACTAACAAGAACATTAAAGGCAACTGAACATCATGCAACCAAATAAAACATAAAACTGCTATATTTGCGTGCAACAGAAGGTCGTCCAGTCTGCAACTACTGCAAAATGGTTGAACATGTTGTCAAATACGGTCGTAGTCGCCCGTTTATTCATTCACCAAAAGCTAATTGCACGATTGTATTCTTCTCTTGTAGGTTTTCTACAAAATTTCCTCGACATTACGATGCACAATTTGAGGTAGAATTCCAACACATCTGCAAACTCATTAAAAGTCTAAAATGTGTTTTACGTCAAGTAGAGGAAATGATGCACAGAAATAGGGAAAATGTTGCGAAGCCAAATGTAGGCCAGAATGAGTATGAATTTGGGAATAATGTAATCGCACCCGATAGTTTCCAAGTCTCCAGCATCCTGCTTGAGACTCCAGCATATCAAGCTCGTCTCCAGCCGAGCTTCGCAACATCAAAATCTAGAAAAATCTCCAGCATTTTATGATTTTCTAACATTCAAAATTTACTTTTACATTTTAAGTGTGGTCAGTGGTTTTCTCCATGCAATCAATAGAGCTGTCTCATATGTTTAGATATCTCGCGGGCTTGCGACCTGCATTTCTAATCAAAATCTAATCTCCCTTCGTCCCCTGCTGCTTTTCTGTATCATAATGCCATGGAAATACTTCAAGCTCCTCCATAGCTACACAGTGCTGCTGCGCAGCACTCAAATCCCCATCATTTTAATCTCCGAGACTTGGCATCTATGCACCCAATCAAGAGCAAAGTTATCAGAACATTTAATCTTAAAAGGAGACGCAAATAGGGAAAGCAGTTATCACCAAAGAGCAGGGACAGCAAACAAGATTGTCAGGACACACGATACGCCAAGCGGTACCAAGCGATTGTGGAGTGGAGTCACTTGAAGCAAGGGGGGACGCTTGTCTTTGAAGGGGAGAGCTATGCAAAAGGACAGAATTTCATGAAGAAAATTTATGCGTGTCTGCTGTTTAAATTTTATTTGCGTGCTTGACTTTCGTTCACACCTTGGCCAATTTCTATTGAACTGCTTGTGGTCTGCTCCTTTGTTCTGTTTTGTTTAAGTATCATAATAGGCTTAATTGCCGTTAAGTAACGTATTTGCTGGCTTTTTGTTTAATTTTGTCGCCAAAGTTTAGACGTAATTTTAGATGTTCGGCAGCCGTTGTTAATTCGAGAAGTTTGAAGCATACCAGTTTTGCCAAAGTGAGCCGTTTAACCATTGTTGAACTAGATTTAGATGAAACTATATGAACCGTCAAGCCAAGAAATCAGAACACAGTTATTAGACATTTTACTTTCTTTTACTGCCGAATCTGCGAAGACAAGTCTGTAGAGCCCTCTTAAATTCAGTGGTTTACATAAGGTTAAGGGAGTTGATGATGATCATATTGATAAAAATTCTTCTCCCTATATTGGTTAAAACATAAAATAACTAATTTCTTGAAATCTGACCGGTTTTTTGCCAATGTACGGAAACAAATAATAACATTAATAATAATGATATATATTCAAAGTGGGCACTGATTAACAGCGTGTTAGTTACTTTTTTACAGTAGAGCCTATTAAAAAGTGAAAGTAGCTAAAAACAAAATAAAACAATTCCAACAATATATTGCAGTAAGAAGTTGCAATAATATAAAATGACGATGCGCAGATAGTTTTAACGATAGAAGACTGAATTGTTAAATGCTGGTTTTTGACGTTATTGGTCCAGGTAAGTTAATCAAAACTTTGGACCCTCTTGTTCTGAAACTTGATGTGGCCTTTCCTCTTGCATTCTTCACATGAGCTTTTTGCTGCTGCTGATCTTGTGTTCCAATGATGCACTTGGGCCGGACACGTAAATCTATCAATCAAATAGTTGGAGGCCAGTTCTTTTATAAAATATCAAAACATCATTATGGCTGTGTTTCTCCTAAAACGTTTATGTAATGATGCTGGATCTTTGAGTGACTTCTCTTTTATTTTAAAGGAGAATTGACACGCAAAAATAACCTTAGCCTATTCGATGCAAAATTTGTCGCTGATTTCAAATCTGGAAAAAGTTTTCTTCTTAGATTCACCGTTTTTCTGATATTTGCACTTTTATCCGTCAATTACGTCACAGCCAGGACTCGGGACTTTCCCGAAGCGGAAACAAGATTATCGCCGTATCAAGAACAAGACTATGGAACGTCGTATCTTACCTGGGTTTAGATATTTCCAAAAATCTACCGGCTGTTCATGCAGTTATTGGCTGCGAAACAACACCAGTAATGTTGTTGTGAGGAAAGCTAACATTTTAAAAAGCTTTAGGAGTGTTCTGGAAAGGGAAAATTGCTCGAGAGAGTTACGATGAGACAGGAAATCTGCAAAGACATTCTCACGAAAGCGATAAAATTTGTGCAAAAATAATCATACAAAGGGAAATGTGATGAAACACTTGTGCAGATAAGAGTAGGAATTCGCAAGGCAATGAAAAACAGATAATCAGAAGCTTTACAACCAGATCCATACTAGTTGACACAAGCATTTACTATTGGTTACATTATCAAAAGAAGATTGTAAGAGAAATTGCCTTTAAGCTTTGGTTAGACATACGATGGAAAGAATGATCTGGCCTACAGGTGGTATTAGTGTGGTTTATAGGAAAAATATTTCTTTACATATTCTAATTTTGAACATACATTTGATAAATAAATAAGAAATGGCACGAAGAGGATATACAGAGAAAAACGTTTCTTAACGGCTTGATGACAAAAATATCCGATCTTCAACGTTAAAAAAGATGTGAATATCTGCAGAAAATACTGGAGTCAGCAAAATAATTCTAAAATTTTTTTCACACAAATTATGTTCATCTTGTGCAGGGCCCCGCACACCCTCCGCTAAAAAACTGCAAGATCTGCAGCGCTCTAGTGATGAAATCGAAGAAAATTCCGTAACCAATGAGGACTAGGCCATGGGAAAAATTATGGTGAGGTGATCAGCTTAAAGCAGACGATGATGAGTGGAACTACATTTTCTTCTGGAGTTCCAGCAAAGGAGACAGTGATGAAGGATGAATAGATCCATATCATTTTCTATACAACGAAATTTTAATTTTGAATGACTTTTTTAACTAGCTAAAGATTTTTAGGCATCCTTTCACGCGTTATTCAATTACCTTTAAAAGGCGATGACGTCATAAAATGATGATGACGTCATGAAAGAACGTTTAAAAGTAAGTATAATAGAAATTCAATACATCTTTTAAAAGCACTGAATGTGTGCAATTCGAATATGGAACATACTTGACAATGATAGTTGCGAGAAAACAATTAAAAAGATTCAAAGTGAATCTTCTCCAAGTTGATGACGTCATCACAAAATTTGT